CAAAAAATGTATCCAAGATCTCAGCAATTCAAGGACCGGTCTCGTCTTTGTCGCCTTCATCATTGAATGCATCTCTTCCTGCAGTTAGCAACGGGCTCTCCTTCTGTTGGGCTCGGGTCCTTGCTGCAATCTAAAATAAGTACAGATGCTGCGCTGCTAGGGCATACTTCTGCAGCTGGACCCGCAGCAGCTTCTGGGATCAGACTGTCTCGCCACTTGTGCATGTAGCACCCAGCATTCCTTGCTCTTGCCTGAGTCATTGTTTGGGTGGACCGCGATGACCGTGAGCCTGGCGACTACGGGACCGAACAAGCTTCTGCGCGGGTGTTCTCTCTCACAAGTCACCTCAAGAGATTGAGAGGGGAAAAACGAAGAAGATAGATAGATCGACGAGATAGATAGTTTGGTAGATCGATACATGGATAGGCAGATGGACAGATAGGTTGACAGATAGTTATATATAGTACATTCTCTATCACTATATTACTGTATACAAACATGTACCATGTGTATATACATATATATATATATACATATATATGTAGAGAGAGAGAGAAAGCAAACAAGCATGAAGCAGTGGCAGGTCGGGAGGGAGAGAGGCTTGCAATCATCATGGTTCCCGAGATATCGCCTGCTTCTGCTTGAACCAACCCACCTTCAACCATGGCATATGATCTGGATGGGCTTTGACTGTCTTGTGGACGATTATGCTTGAAAATGTTAAGCTCTTGGCCTCACAGAGATGCCAGCTTTCCTGAACCATTCTGATGGATGGAAGAATCGGAATCCTCCAATCAGGGACCCCTCGCAAAATTTCCCAAGGGCCTGGGCAGCATGATCCTCTAAACCCTAAACCCTGATGCTGTTGTTCTTCTGAAGCTCGCATAGGGAACGCTGTGCAGCGGGAGAAGCTCCTGACATTTGCAGGAACCCCCTGGGCATTCCGCTCCTCACAGAAGAGATGCGACTCAAGGATCCGCGTCGTGGGTAGTACTGTCCATGCGTTGAGCAGGGTGAGGGTCCAGGTTTTGACGTCTGCAGAAACATGTTGTGGCCTGGAGTCCGGTTCAGAGGACGTGAACCAGTACTCAGGTCCCTCCGAACAGGCACCTTCAGTATACCGCAGATGGGGTCGGTAAACTCAAAACAAGGGCTCGAATTTGCATGCCCCTGGCTTCTGCGACGACCACTTCGTTTCTAGGAATGCTTCGACGACGACGACGATTCCTACTAGTACAAGTGCTACTGTTGACGCCGAAAATCCTGCATGACCTGCAACGCCGGACATATGTTCTGTCGCGCTATCCACTTCCCCGCAACCCCTTAAGTTCAATGTTGCCTCCCCATGGGGTTATGCAGGATTTTGGGCATTTCCGCAGTGCCTTGTTCCAGCCCGTGGGTCAGTGCAATAGTGCAATATCATACTCTGCTACTTCTACTTCTCCCTAACCCCCCAGGTACCTACTATATAGGGTACCAGAGCCCCTAGGGCCCTATATAGTAGGTACCTGGGGGGTTAGGGTCTGCTACTACTATTGCTACTAGTGCTACTCACCAGCTGCCCTACCAGTCCCAGCAGGTGTCGGTCACTCTTGGCATTGCATGTCTGAAAACCGCTACTCTTGTTGTTTCATGTTGTTGGTAAGCTAATGAACCACTGGTCCAAGAAACAGATACGTAATGGCAACATTTCAATCACTAACAACCTCGGCTCCTTCCTTGAATACCCTTGACTCTTCGTGAGGAGCTAAACAATGGCCGGATGGCCATGATCGCAATCTCCGGCATTTGCGCAGCAGAGTTGGCAACGGGCAAGGACTCGGACAGTTTAAACCACAGAAGGGCTTTCACCGTTCCGTCTCAGTCTGACCGCTTCCTACTCGGCGTCTCAAAACTCTGGTTATGCCTTCTGCAGCTGTACCTAGGAGTCTAGTCATGGGTGAGGTGTGCAACGGTTGGCCTGCCATCTGTGTCGATGGATAGCTTCTGTCTAAGTCTAGAAGATCAAGTGACCGTGGCCCTGTCTTTGCTTGCAACCTCAGCATCAGGATTCCCGAATATGTCCAGCAGGCTGACTTCAGGGTATGAAGCATCCAGGCCTTTTAAACTGAAACCCTTTCCCAGTCCCATTCCAAGCATCGGTAACATTCATGTTGCCAGGATGCAGTGGAACAGCTGATTTTCTGGCAGTGAGCCTTCACGATTTGTCGAAACGGCTGGCGGTGATTCCCAGAAAAGACCTGGGAAGAACTGCTCAGCAACATGCCCGCCCCACGCCTTTTGCCGAAGTTGCTCGATAACACTGTAGTGTAGCCAACACGTCAAGTCTCGCCTTCGGGCTTAGGCTTTGGGCCTAGATTGCAGACTTGCCTTCCGTTATGTCGCATAAGTGACGTCCTCAACCCCCTTCTGGGACACATACATGAGAAAGAAATGCTCACACCGGTTTTGTTTCGAGGTGCGCCCAGCACATCAATTAAGTGGAGAATGGAGGAGAAGACTCCCGACTAAGTGACGGTGCGCTGAGTTTTCGTCCGGCTTCCTTCCCAGCTCTCCCACTTCAGGCTGTCTTGTCTCCAACATGTGCACGACAAAACTGGCCCTGAAGCAGCTGGAATGGTCAGTGACTTCGCAGAAGCTGACATAGCCTCGACGCACCGCGGTTTTCACCTCAGTTTTCTGGCATCATACCCGTATAGTTGCCAAGCAGACCCAGAAAAAGAGTTACTTTCTTGCTGCATGCATGCCGGCTGGCATATGATTTCTTGAATGCGTCTCTATTCTGCATGGCATTTCCGACGGTATGTAGCAGCAAGAGCCATGTTTTAGTTTGATAAATGCAACCTGGTGCACGTCAGTGGCAAGTATAGGTACAATCGCAACCAACGCTACTTGTAACTGCAGCCAAGCAACACCAACAACAGTGCCAACAGCAACGACGACAACCATGCTACAACATTAGCAACAACCACCGCATCAACAGCAGAACAAGTACTGCTATTGCTGCTGTTGCTACTGTTACTGCACTGCTGCTCCTACTTGCTCCTCTACTACTACTGCTGCTACAACTACTACGACCACGACTACTACCACTACTACCACCACTACTACTACTACTACTACTACTACTACTACTACTACTACTATTACTACTGCTGCTACTACAACTACTACGACTACTACTACTACCACACTACTACTACTACTACTACGACGACGACGACCACGACGACGACTACTACCCCTACTGCTGCTGCTTCTGGAACTGCTACTGCTACAACTACGGCCAAAGTACTAGTCGAACCACCACCTGCACAGGTAGTGCCAGTAGTACGACGTCGACGCACGTCACGGACGACCACGACTAGGACGACGACGACGACAACGACAACGACTACAACCCCTTGTGCCAGTGCTGTGCATGTTTATCATTTTTACTAGGGCCAGCAATACGCACTTCTGCAAGTTCTAGTAGTTGAAGTAGTTGTTTCACTACCAGTACCACTGCCACTACCTGGAGGATGTCCTGCAACACCCGTAAAGATTCCCTGAAGACAATGTCTCCTGCTGTTTCACCATCCTAGGATTGTAAGCACCGGTTAACTTGGAGCAGCAACCCGGAGCTACTTGCCGAGGCTGGGGCGAGACAAGGCGCATATCTTTGCATCAGGTTTGTAGGCTTGGGCATGTATTACAAGGGATTCGAGGTGGTGTGCAAAGCTAGATCTACTCAGCGAAAAGTGAATTGTAAGCAGGAGGAGAACAATAAGAACGCCTGCTGCTGATTTGGGACTGTGGGATTTCGCTCTTGAGCTGCGCATGTTTTCCTGTGCTGCGCATGTTTCTCTTTGCGGTGCAGTTCTCGTCCGGTCGAACTTGTCCGGTTCGCGATTTCTTGACACCTTCTATCTACCCCTACTCCCTGCACAGGCGACCCCTTCTGCGAAGGCAATTAAGAAGGTTGCCGATTTTTTCCAGATATTCCGTGTCTAGCAGGTAAATTAAGAGAAGTCCATGAGGCCAGCTAGCTACAGGGTGCCCTGCCAGAGCCAAGAAGTGGAACAAGTGCGTCTATGCCACTTCCAGGCAGAGGAAGACTATTAGTATGATCGCGGCGCTGTGAAACCTCTGTCGTGTTGCAGTATTGTCGACCTTGTCTGCTTTATGGTTGCTGCTGTAGGATGCCTTGCGTTGGCCTCCACGCACAAGTCGCTGCCTCGCAAGATCGCTGCTCTTTCCTGGTCAGGCTCCGTGATGCCCGTTCAGGTACGAGGAGGCACCTACTTGGATGACTCCAGCTTGATTGTAAGAATCACATCACATCGAATCTAGGCTCTAGACGAGCTTTCATAGAGACATACCACATGCATGTGCAGTCATTTCCACATGCAAGCATGCATGCATGTTGTTATACATGCATGCAGACATACATACGTACGTATACGTACGTGCTAGTATACGGACATGCATGCATGCATGAGTCAGTTTGTTTTCTCTCACTTGATGCACAGATGTGACATGCATGACACCTCGCCAGCCGGCTTGAGCAGAAACAGTGAACCAGGATCTTTTGATTCTGGTAGCGGAGCACTGTAGTCTCCCGCCATTGCTACGCGCGGCGCTTCGCTGCTCTCCGGCTGGAGGCTGGAGGTCCAGGCTTGGCCTGTGACGCCCTTGGGGGCCACGTGCACTACGAGCACAACGATATCTACGTTTTCTCTTTGGAACTGGTTGCTGGCAGCCCTTTTGACGCTGCTGGCTCTGTTGTCACCGGATCAGAGCTTCTCTGTGCAGAGAGTTTTCTTTGGCAGCTTCGGCGCTGTAGCGGCGGCGCGCCCTTCTCGAGACCTACTACCCGATTCCCCGGAAGGACGCGGCCACGGTTCAGGACCTTCCCGGTTACTTGATTCGCCGGAAGTTCGAGAAGCACTCCGCCCGGACAAGGCCATGGCCTCCCCTTCGACCAGTCAAGGAGGCGGCATCCCTTTAGAAGAATGGAGGAAAGATGTTCCCCCGGGCTGGCAGCCCGGATTGGAAAGCTACCCTCTGAAGCTTTACTTCTCCAAGCTGAAGCTGTGGTACCGATGCACGGAGGTACCTGACGAGGTGGTAGGCCCACTTATCGCTGGCAGGCTGGTTGGACGAGCGCAACGCATAGCTTTGGAACTCCGTCTTATCCGACCGGACGGTACTTATGATACTGGGGATGCGGCATTGGTCCGCCTCTCAGTCGACCAAGTGCTGGACCCAACGGATGGGGTCACAGTGCTGCAACACCACATCCCCTCGGGGGTGCAAGCGCTGTGCAACGCGCTCAAGCAGGCCTTCGGCGAGACGGACGAGACGGCCACCACCAAGTCCTTGGAGATGTTCTTCGAGTTTCGCCGCCCGGCCTCTCAGGACCTGCAGGAGTTCGCGGCCGAGTGGGAGCTAAGGTTCGAAGATGCGAAGACGAAGGCTGGCTTGGACATGAACGACGTCGCGAAGTCCTACATGTGGTTGAGGCAAGCAAACATACCTCAGCGCCATCAAGACGACCTTCGGCTCCAAATCCATGGAGACCTCAGTCGCTTCAATGACTTGAGGACCTTGGCGCTTCGGCTGGCCCACCGGACCGACAAGTCGAGCGACGCGTTCTACGAAGAAGCCCGCCACAGAGACTCGGCCTGGGACACGGGCTCCGAATGGAACGAGACATACTGGAGCGACGATGGTTCATGGCTCTATGTCGATGAGGACTACGAGGCCTATGTCACCGAGGACTGGTACGGCGAGGAGGACTTCGACTACGGCTATCCCGACCAGAGCGAGAGCTGGTACGAAGATGAACACGCTCACTGGCCGGGCGATCCTGACGGAGAACCTGGCCACCAAGGAGGAGACGAGGTCTACGCCGAGGACAACCACGACGGCGTCTATAGTGGCAACTTTTCCGGCACAGAGAGTCCGATCTCTCCGCAATCAGATGATCTATCAGGCAGCACTGCCATGTGGTTCCCGCTGGCACATGGCTGCGGACTGCCCTGTCCGAGGAAAGGGTGCCGGTGGAGGAAAGAGCAAAGGAAAGGGCAAAGGCAAGGGCAAGCGATACAAGGGCAAGTACGGTGGCAAGAACAAGGGCAAGGGCAAAGGCTATGGCAAGGGAGGAAAGCATGGCCAAAAGGGGTCATGGCACTCCCCTGACGGCCCTCGCTCTTGGATGCAGCCAAGGTACTATGCCGACACACGCTACACGGACCAGATTCGGCACGCGAGAGAAGGACTCCACCTCGGCGACTCCCCGGAGAAGACCCTTGCGCCCAAGACCGGTGGCGCGCAGTACTTCAACATCGCTGCCGACAACGCCCCGGCAAGGATCAGCGATGAAGGAGATTTCATGAGTATGGAGCGAGCAGCGACCAAGATCTTCCGCGACGAGCCTACCGTGAATGTGGAAGCTGGCGAGGCGGCCGAGTACTCTGGTGACCGAGTGGCAAAGACCTTGGAGTTCTTCTTCCGCAAGAGCCTCAATGGAAAGGAGATTCGGACACCACGGCACCAGATGCACTACGGCCACAACGAAGCAGACAGTTTCGATGTCTACCACACGGTGCAAGGCCGTCGCCGGCGTGGATTGATAATCGATCCCGGCGCTGCTAATGGCCTGATAGGGTCCGAAACGCTCAGGGACTTGATGGACAACATCGACAAGTCCGACGAGGTCAAGAAGTCGGTGAAATGGAGCGAAAAGAAGTCCGAAGTGACTGGAATCAGTGGTGCAGCAGACACCACCCTAGGGGAGATTCGCATCGGACTCCCAATGATCCCCGGCATGGAGTCCGCGGCGTATGTTGCAGATGTTGTCGGCGGAGAGGCCAGCTGCTGCCCGGCTTTGGTTGGCAATCCTGCCTTGGTAAAGATGAATGCTGTGATAGCGTCGCACTGGTTCGAGAACAAGGACGGCCTCCTCATTGTCCCCAATGATAACCACACAGGCGAGGCCGATCGCTATCACCTGATCCGACTGCTGTACACCGACAGCAGGCACTACATGATGCCGCTTGATGGCATTACGGTCGCTTCTGAAGAGCACACGAAGGCCCACACTTTCCTGACGCGTGTCGTCAGCCGATCAAGGACCCTGTGGCCAGACGTGTGCAGGACTTGGTTTTTCAGGTCGGACAACAAGCCAGAGCCAAAGCGGAGTCAGTTTGCGGAGGTACAACAGCACGATATGATCCATTACCAAGGGACAGACCACCAACAGCCACAGCAGCCCTCGGATCCCTCTCAGGAATCAAATCCGAAACCACAGCAGTCACCGTTGGATCCCAGTCAGGAATCAGATCCGAAACCGCAGCAGTCACCTGGTGGTTCAGTTTTGTCGTCTATGTCACCATGTACCAGGTCGAGCAAGTCCCCAAAGTCTGTGAGATTTGACGACTCTCCATCGAGGTCACCTGTCTTGGACTCAGCTAGTCGTCATCTACAGCAAGCGTCCGAGGAATCGTCGTTTCAGATGCCCACCGTGTACCATGGGGACAGCTACCCATGCGATGTGACTGGGGACCAGCGCAGCAGGCTCGACAGATACTACTCGACGGCCAAGGAGGAGTTCTACAGCAAGTCTGGAAAGAAGCCGGTGACTCCGGAGAATTTTCACCGCTGGAAGTCCACGAAAGCAGCCAAGGGCCCCATCCACCTTTGGGAGCTTTTCTCGGGGTCTGCAAGATTGTCTTACGTCGCACTTTTGGCAGGTCTCTCAGTGGCTTTCCCCGTGGATCTAAGATATGGATGGAACCTTGGCATTCCGGCGCACCAGGAAATGATCCTCGAGGCCCAAGACAAGCTTGACCCGAAGGTCATCGTGATGGCACCTTCCTTTGGTTCCTGGACGTCCCAAGCGGCAAACCTTTCGGCCGAGAACAAGGAGCGCTACCTCGCCGAGGAGACAGCAGCCGTGGGTTTTGTGAAGCTGCTGGCCGAGCGACAAGCACAGCGAGGTTGCGCTTTCGTGGTGGAACAACCGTGGACGAGCCCTTCATGGAAGCACACCTGTTTGGCCACACTGGCCAGCGACATACCTGGATGTCGCACCCGGCAGCGCACCGATCAGTGTTGTTTTGGAGCTGTTGATGAGCACAACATGCCCATCCTCAAGGCTACGGGTCTTCAGAGCAACTTCTCTTTGAGAAACACCACTCGACGCTGCCAAGGTCACCGACTCGGCCATGGGAGTCACACGGCGGGCTCCACTCGCGTGGTCTCTCAGTCCCACGCTGGTGTCTTCACTCACCAACTGTGCAAGGCCTTGATCAAGGACGTACGGAAGTACCTCAAGGCCATCGACTGTAAGATTGATGGCATCTTTCACGCCGATCAAGCAGGACGACCAGGCTCTTCTCGAGACCCGGCAGTACGAGCTGCAGTAGTCACACCACTGCCGCAGCTACTCGAGGAGTTCAGAGAGGCAGCTCTTCGTCGAGCAAACCTGGATGATGTTAAGGTGCAATGGCCTGAAGGTGTCACACTTTCGTCTGTCGACTCACTCATGTTCAAGCACCTGCTGCTCTGCCTTGTCGAGGACAGCGTCAATGTGATCTCGGAGACGGCCGGCAAGCACAACCATTGGAGCCAGGACCCCGTGCATCTCGGTGTTCTGCGGAAAGTCTTTGGAAAGGTCCTAGACGTCAAGGGTGTCTGCGTAACCCTTCATGCAGAACATTTCCCTCTACCGATGCCTTTCCTGCGCACGGAGTCAGCACCCTTCCGAGTGATCATCCGTGGCGAGGTCAAGAGGTGGACAGTTAAGAAAGCCGAGGACCTCCGCACGTTTACGCAAGCCCAGCTCAAGGAGAAGGTTTTCTGTGAGGACTGGGTTATCGCGGTCTTCGGCTCCACGGCCAAGGATAAGGACTACTGGGAGATTGACCGCCTCAGGGGCAAGGCCACGCGGCATCACATTCGTCCCCGCCAGGCGCTTTTCACGCCGAGGGAGGACGAAGGCCCAGTGTCCATTGAAGAGCTCACCTCATCCAGGACGACCACGGCGACACCCTACGACAAACCAGGCCCCAAGGTTGTGATCAAGGACGAGTGGACTGGACGAGATAGCAGCAGGGCAGCCATCGAGGACGGCAGATGGACCGGGACCACGGAGTTTGAAATCCACGCACCCGCGGACGATGACCCTCCTGAACAAGATCCCGTTGTACGAGAAGCAAATGCTCGCGAGGACGACATGGACAAGGCTGAAGACGGCGAGGCTGAGCAACCCGAAGAAGTCGACGACGGCCAAGCGATCGATCCTCCTCGGAGATCAAACTTTGACTTTCGTCGAGTACTAGTTCGACTTCCTCGTCTTGCCCGAGACGATCCTCAACAGGCCAAGCGACTACTCCTTGGCCTACATGAGCGTTTCTGGCACTCCGGTGCGGGCGACCTACAGACGATGCTCACACGAGCTGGAATGCCCGCCGACGTCACCAAGCTTGTTCCAGAAACCATCGCGGCATGTGCAGTGTGCAGACGCTTCTCCAAACTCAAGAGTCGTCCCAAAGTGCGAGCCAATCACCCCTCCTGCTTCAATGAAGAGGTGCAGGTTGATTGGTTTCGTCTATGGGACAATTGGTTCATGATGGTCATCGACGTGGCCACTCGGTACAAGACGATCATCAGGGTGCCCGGACGTGATCTTCAGTCGGCCCTTCAGGCGCTGTTACAAGGATGGTTTCGGTACTTTGGGCCGATGAAGAAGCTAGTCTCAGATCAGGAGTCATGCCTCATGTCCCACGAGGCAGCCGCGGAACTGGAACGACTCTCGATACATCGGGAGCCAGCAGGCACAACTCGTGGTGGTGCACATGGGCAACACACGACGACTGGTGTGGTCGAAAAGCACACTGATCTGGGCAAAATATGCATGCTAAAGCTTCGTGCTGAAGCAGAACGACAGGGCCTGGACATCAGCCTTGCAGACTTGGCGGCCGAGGCCAGCTTTGCGCAGAATGCCACGCTCAACATCGGCGGCTACTCTCCCCACATGATGGTGATCGGCACTCTTCCGATGCCGTTCTACGACTTCGAGGCGCCCGGCATCCAAGCGATCACAGGGGCTGGGCATGCGAATCCGTCGGTCTACGAACGAGCTCTACGGCTACGCCAGATGGCTATAACGGCAGCCTCTCAGTCGATCATGGAGAACCGCATCGCTCGTGCCGGCCACACTCGACCTCAACGTGTCCCACTTGATGAACTACAAGCAGGCACTTCGGAAGTCGAGTTCCACAGAGAAGATGCCGATGGCTTTGGATGGCGTGGACCGGCCCTACTTCTGAAGCTCAACGAGAACGGCTCAGCGATCGTTGAGTATCAGGGCCGGCCGTACTTGATCCCGCTGCGAAATCTTCGGCTGTTCCGTGGGGTCTACTACAATGACGGCGACTCGCTCAAGGCCGATGATGCAGTAAAGGGTCAAGAACTTGAATCTTGGATAGCTCTGCGACGCCTCATGCAAAGCACGGAAGCATGCATCCCTTTCAAGATCGAGACCTTCGGCCATCTTCGCAACCATCGAGGTAAATGGAGCAGGCTCCCAAAACACATGGCTGAGGAACAGATCACAGGCATCCTTCAAGACGTGGTCACAGCCTCACAGTTCCTCACCGCGAAACAATGCCACGGCATACGCGTTGGTGTTGGTCTCAAGAAGATGTTCACTCCGGAAGGCTCGACGGGAACTTTGGTTGCCTGGAGAAGGAAAACAGTGAGAATGTCCATTGTGGACAATCCTACGGGTTCGGACATGAACACCAATGGCTTTCGCTTGGGCAACCGCGAAGAGATGTGTTACATCTACTTCTACAGCTACGTGGAGAACTACGTGGAGCCTCCTTTCGAGACGTGGGTCCCAAAGGGAACGCCTATGGAGGAGTCACCTGTGACTCCAACCTCTCCTGAGGAGCCACCAGCTGCTACCACTTCAGGAGCCAAACGAGACGGGCCGGAAACGAGGACGGTGACTCTAGGCCCGGAGACCAAGAAGCAGCGAATCTACCACGCAACACCGCTGTCAGAGTGTATGCCCGAAGTTTTTTGGAACATGCACAAGCACCAGTGGCTTACTCAGCTTCCTGACGAGGACGTGGACCCCTCCGAGGAAGTCCCGACTCACCACTACGCAACCACCGACGCCAAGCAGCTCTTTTACATGAGCTCACCTGGTTGGCATGCGGACCTGCAGACCGGAAGCATCTTTCGGGTGGACTCCACAACGGATTCCATCGAGGAGGCCGATCTACCCGGTATCTGGCCACAAGTGGATGAGGCTGACCACAAGGAAATCGGCCAGTTCGTGAATGAGAAAGCTTTCAAGGCCGTTCGTCGCAGTGACCTTCCTGCTAACTGCGCCATCATCGATGGCATCTGGGTACGAAAATGGAAGAAGACTGCTGACCTGAAACGCATTGTCAAGTCCCGCATGTGTGTCCGTGGCTGTCACGACCCATGGAAGAACGAACTCAACAATCGATCATCCACGGCCACCAGGCTGTCACAACGATTGATTTTGGTTGGAGCAGCCAACAGCCAAGACGACGACGTTGAAAGCTGGGACATCGCAGGCGCTTTCCTCAAGGGACTTACCTATGAATCTCTCTGGAAATGTCTGCGGAAACTTGGACTGCACACGGTGGAACGGCTCGTGGCTATTGTGCCACCACGCAACGTATGGAGGCACCTCAAGAAGCTGTCCAAGGAGTTCGACATTCCCGAGGACCAGATTGATGATTTCGTCTTACTATGCCTGAAACCAGTTTACGGTCTCTCAGAGGCACCGCTGGCGTGGCAGCTGTTCCTTCACCAGTTTCTACGTGAACTAGGAGGCGTGCAGTCGTTGTTTGACGAGTGTTTTTGGTTTTGGCCTGCGCGATATGCTGGGACATGGCCCACGGCTTCTCTCACCACTCATGTGGACGACCTGGCAGCACGAGGTAGACGCGCGTGGCTGGACTGGGCCTACGCCAAGATGTTGGAGAAGTTCGGCAAGCTCACTCGGCAAAGTCTACCGTTCATGCACTGTGGGTGCCGATACAGTCGTCTGCCAGATGGCTACAAGGTGGACCAAGCGGATTACGTCAAGATGCTGAAGCCAGTCACCCTGGACACCAACGACAAGGATGAACGTGATCTTCTGCCACACGAGACTACGGCACTTCGGTCAGTGATTGGTGGTCTTATGTGGACATCACTTACTCGTCCAGATGTCCTGGCTGAACTGTCAACCTTACAGTCTGTCATGAACAAGGCCAAGGTGCAGCATTTGCGTTTGGCGAACGCTTTGATTGAGCGGGCCAAGCAAGATGTCGATGCCGCGGTGTACTATCGCGCACTGCCCTCTGCAAACTACCGCATCGTCTGCATTCATGACGCGAGTGCGGCCACCGCGACCAAGAACTACGCCCAGGAAGGCGTTCTGGTTTTCCTCATGGCGGACACAGTGAAGATCGCGGAGGAGCACATTGTTGCCACCGATGCCTTTGCGAAGTACAAGCTGTCCGGACGGGCACAACTTCTTCATATGCAAAGCAACAAGGCTAAGAGGGTCTCATATTCCACTAGTCATGGTGAGACCTTGGCGGCAATCAACGGCCTGGAGTGCAGCACTTTGGTTTCAACTCGGCTCGCGGAAATCACTATGGGGCCGACGCGACCTACGCTACAACGACTACTCGCTGTTCAAGAACAAGGCTGTCCTTACTTCCCGGTCGATGTGCACACTGACTGCCGCGACTTCTACGAGTTGACAACAGGGTCCAGAACTCTTCCACAAGACAAGAGCCAACGGCTCTACATCATGGCCCATCGTGAGGCCCGTGCCAGCGGAAGGATCAGATGGACTATCCTTACGCCTACCGAGTGCATGACTGCTGATGCTCTCACCAAGGTTATGCAAAGTCCATGCCTGATGAAGTGGCTATCCACTGGTATTGTCGAGTTCTGGAACACTGGTCACCCTCTCGAGCTTAAGCGTTTGCCTCCACCAACGGACGGCTCCACCGACTTCGATGAAGAAGACTTGATCGCTGGTGACGACGCGCTCAAGAAGAACCGAAAATGGCCGAGCACCATGTCCACGCTCGGCTACGTCATGTACATGAATGGATGGTATGGCCTGGCAACAATGACCATGTTGGCTACACCTGCTGCAGGACAACCTCTACCTCAACGACCGCTGCAGGAACCAGAAGGCGACTACACGATCCTCCTCATTCTCATGCTCATCGTTATCGCTTCCAGCGCCACGGCTATACTGGTTGATCGATGGTGTACTCGATCGAATACTACAACAACGACTTCCTCCTCGGCGCCCACGACGACTACTACGACGTCAAGTTCTTCAACAACGAGCTTTTCGACTCCGATGCCTGCAACTACTGCCGACGTTCCAGCAAGTTCTTCTGGTCCAGATCCAGCTCCCCACAACGTTTCACGAGACATTTGGATCTCCAAGGCAGGCAAGCGGTACCACAGGAGCACTTGTGTGTATAGTCAGGGCGGAAAGAGATTCTCCCCGTGCTCGTACTGCAATCCGTGATTCTGGCAACTTCCAGAGTCCAAAGCGGAGTCAGTTTGTTTTCTCTCACTTGATGCACAGATGTGACATGCATGACACCTCGCCAGCCGGCTTGAGCAGAAACAGTGAACCAGGATCTTTTGATTCATGCATGCATGCATGCATGCATGTGAGAGTGAAACTGTGATGCATGTACTGATATTCAATCAGCTATGTGGCTATCTGCGTATGCATGCATGTACATGCATGTATGTGTGTATATACGGGCGTACATACGAACATTGGAATGTATGTATGTATCAATGTAAGTATGTGTATGTGTGTCCATGTAATGTTGCATGTATGGATGCATGTGTGCATGTACCCATGTGTGTAATGTAAATGTCACGTGGGTCATGTCGTACCATGCTATGCACTGTGATGTAGTGCAATGCAGTGTGATGGAATGCCACGTCATGTGATGTCTTGAAATGTCATGTAACGACGTATAGTACCACGTGCTGTAATGCAATGCAACAAAGTGGCATGTGTATTGTGGAATGTGTAGTGTAGTGTAATGTAATGCAATGTAATGCAATGTATTGTAATGTAATGTAATGTAATGTGATGTGATGTGTACTGTACTGTACTGTGTTGCATGCATGCATGGATGGAAGAAGGGCGGGGATGGATGGATGGACGGATGGAAGGATGGATAGATGGATGCATTGATGCATGGATGGATGCATGGATGGATGCATGGATGGATGCATGGATGGATGCATGGATGCACGGATGTGTGAGTGCGTGTGTGTGTGTGTGCGCATGCATGGAGGGATGGATGGATGCCTCGACGGCTGGATGGATGGGCGTGAGAATGTGCGTGTGTTTGTGTGCACATAACATGTTATGTTTGTTTGTTGTCTGTATGCATGTTCTCATGCGTGCATGTATCTAGACACTTTTTTCGTAGTTTGGATGCACCAGCACACCTGCAGACAGACAAAGCATGTTTGCGCTTGCCTGCCAGGAGATGTACTAATAATACGGACTGGCAGGAGGGTATGTGCATGTCTTACACCTGCATGCTTGCTGCTTGCGTCAACTTTCCTGATGTGAGTCTCTCCTGTCTCCATGAACCCATTGGTTTGTTTGTCTGTCCGCCTGTATGTCTGTTGTTTGCGCTGCATGTTAATGTGTAAATGTGTATAAATACATAAACACTTATATATATATATATGCACAGATAAACACACAGGCCAAGCATGTGCAACCATTCGTATATATCAAGAATACAGACATTTCACACATATATGCATGCATGCATACATACATATATACATACATACACATGCACGGCTCTGCATATGAACCTGCAGACGCCATACACATGTTGATGTGCATATGTGACTTGTACACGACTGTGCACATAGGCATGTACACATGTTGGTGTTCTCTACATTTGTGTGTTTATGTATGTTCTGTTGGTCGCATTTGCTACGTTGTTCCACTTCAGCTTGCGCGCGACAGTCTGCAGCAAGTCTCCTGCCACAGGCTGCCTGAATACTATGAGTCGAGTGTCGGATACAATCCTTGTCACGCTGGAATTATGCAAAAATCCGCTGAGACGGCTGGGCCACGAACTAGAAATCCGGGACTTGTTGGGTAACATTGAGCTGCTGCCTTTGTCTATGAGCCGACGGCCCCAAAATGCTGGTACTTTGTGTATTTTGCCAAAAGACCCACTCCAGAAATCAGCCATGCTGTGCACATTCCTCTAAGCCTCCAGTTACCTACCTTGTAGGGCCCTAGGGGCTCTAGTACCCTATATAGTTGGTACCTGGGGGGCTAGGGTTCACTGGTAAAAGTCCAGGTAACAGGTAACAGCGGTCCGAACCTGCCCTCGGAACACGAAATGGGAGTTTTCGAAAGTAAGGGGTACCTTATGTTGGGTCCTTACCCAGAGCATCGGATATTGATT